CGCCGCCGGGTGGTGGGAGCCGCTCCCCGGGCCGGGCGGGAGGGGGCGGGCAGCCGCGGGCCGCCGCACTTTTTGATTTTTTCGGCTGCCGCAGCGGCGACCCCAAGGCAGCGCGGATGTCCCTGATCCCGGGAGCGACGACGGCCGCCGCCTAGCCTGGAAAGTAAGTGTGCGGGCTGGCGAGGGCGCGGGATTCCTGCGTGTAGCCCTGCCGGACCCCCGCCCGGGCGCCGGCGACCCGCGCGGTCCGGTCTGGGTCCGGCTCCGGCTCCGGGTCCCCCTACCCAGCGGCGCCAGCGCCCGCCTCGTGCTCCCGCCCGCGCCCCTCCCCCGCGGGCGCACAAGTTTCACCTCCATTTGCTTTTCCCGGCCGGCGCTCTTCCCTGCCCGCCGCCCCGTCTCCTCGCGGCTCCCGCTCCTCCCGAGCCCCAGCCCGGCTGCCGCGGTCCCGCCCGCTCCCCTCCGGCGCCCCTCTCCTTGCGCGGCGCAGCCCGCGCTCCGCCCTCCGCTCCCGGCGCGAGCTCCCGGCCGCGCCGCCGCTGCCTCCTCTGCCTGCTGGGAGTTGAAGCGGAGCCCGGCGCCGTCGGCGGCTGGGTGCTCCTGCCCCGCGTGCTGCCGTCCTCCCTGGGGCCCTGCCCGCGGAGCTGGGCGCGAGAGCGGCGGAGCTGGGATTTGGCTGCGTGTGCGGAGTGCGGCAGATGCGAGCGCGGCCCCGGGGCGCAGCCCTGGTCAGGTGTGAGTGCGCCGGGAGGGACGCGGGGTGTGCAGGAATGTGAGGAATGCACGGGGCACAGTCCCCGGCCCGGCCGCACCAGCGCCTGCCGGCCCAGCCCTCGCGGCGCAGCCAGAGGTCGCCGGAGCATCTTCGGAGCCGGTGAGCCTCGGTCCACTCTTCTCCTCGCTTCTCCATGCGGCAAACAGGGTGGCGAGGGGAAGCCCGGTAGTTTCTTTGGGTTTTTGCTGCAGTGGTCTCACCGGACCGTGAATTTGGGGTCACCAATGTTATTGATCATTGCATAAGAATCTTTGGAAGTTTGGTGTGCAAATTTGGATAGCGGTTGGTTTTTACTAGGGTTTTCTGGAAACCTGCAGAAACCGGGCTGCTGAAGGTTCTTAGAGTAATGAGCTTGCAGCCAGCATATTTTAGCTCGATCGAAAAATGCCTGTTAATGCTCATGGACAGAGCTGCACTGCAAGAGAAATCTTGACTGCATCACTTTGCTGTCATAAGAATTTTCATTTTTCCCCTCCCCCTCGTCATACTGAGCTCCTGTTTAGGCCTCGTATAATACATAATGAATAGAAACAGAGAAGCAGTGTTTGGCCAGCGATGGGACAGATAGAACTGTCTGGTACAGTTAAATTCGGGGCGTGTCAGTTACCACTGGCTGTAACACGGGGACGCCACAATCATGTGTATTTCAAGGCATAATTTATTAGTGAAGGTTGCAGTTCTTTCTCTTTGTTACTGAGTTTGACTGAAGGAAGAAGATGTGATAGCTCTACAACTTTTAAAGAATGGTAATTATATTTGTGCCAAAGCTATAATGGTTTCTATGCAGTTTTGGTCGAATTTTATGTTCTTAATAGAGAAAAGCGAAATGTTGGCAGAAGATGCTTCTGTGAAATTGGGCTTAGATTTTTTTTTTTTTAAAGGACCTAGAAGAATGCTTTTCTTTTTAAATATGTTGCTGTTTTAGAAATATCTGCTTTTCTGGTGCCTGTGAAGCAGTTATGGAAAATGAAAGTGTGAAAATGAAAAAAGCCAAGGTCTCATCCGTGAGTCTGGATGTTGAAAAGCACTAATGTATGCTTTTACTTGACACAGTTTGGTTTACTATAAAGTCTCTGCGCCGGCTATTTTGTTTCTAATTCAGTAAAATAGTCAATTACCAACCAATCAGCTGTCTTCCAACCCCTACTTTGTGTGGATCAAGGGCAATGAAAAGTCTAAGAAGAGAGAGAGCGCCTTTTAGTTAAAGACCCAAGGGAAAGGAAATGAGAGGTTGTGTCTTTTGGTTGCTACATTGTTTTTCTGGTATGGCCATAATCAGTGAGCCTTTAATTTGTAGGTTTAATTTGTATCTAGTAACGCTGTGGAGTATATAGGTAGTGCTTGTAAATGCCAGGGGAAAACTTTTATTATGTAACAATACCATATCACAACGGAATGTAACAACTCTTGTTTGATTTGAGACGAAAATTTGAATGTAAAAGGAAATTTAATCTTTCCGTTGCTTTAAAAATTGGAAAACCTGTTCAGATATACTGGTCATGTGTGTGGGTACATGACTGTCTGTGCAAATAGCTTTATCTTCCTCGGGTATACAGTTTTCAATTAGAAATATATTCTATTATTGATGTTCTAAGAGAGGAAGCTTTTATGCTGATGAACTTTCGTAATTAAAAGCAACACATTGTAGTTTGACCAAAGTATATTCTTCTTCTACCTCCTTGTATTATTTAAAGACAAAATGTTGCATTTGGTGTTGTTTATATTATATCAAAGAATCTAAATTGAGGAAATTTTGTGTCCTCTTCTTTATAGTTTTTACAGAGAGATAGGGGAGCAGAGAGTAGTGATGGAAAGCCTAAGAGAAGGAAAGAAGAAAGTACACTTAGCTGGAGTTCTGCCAGGAAAAAACAACATATATATATATAATTGCCTTTGTAATCTGAATAAGCCAATCCTATTCTATGAATACCCTCACATAATAGGAATTTAAAGAAATTACCAAATTACTTGATTCAAACTTTAGCAGTTGAGTGACCTTGAGTATTTAGATTGCATACGTACTAAATTATAAATGCATCGATCTTTCTTTTTTGATGTATACAAATTAAGAACATAACTATAACCCCAAATTTTGAAATTTGCCTAAATTAGTCTTTTTAAATCCCAGTATTTCCAACTTGTATAGTGAATTATTAACCTGATGTTAATTGGGGATCTTCTAAAAATAGATTTTCATACTCTACATGATGCCAACCATCTGGTAAATTTAGCTCCTTACCTGTCTTCTTTGAAATATTAAGATATTTTGAGGGTGCTCTATACTCTTGATTTTTTAACATTTCAGTAGAGAACTCCCTACCTTGCTTAATTTGAAAGTGGACAACATACCTTTATTCTTAGTTGAAACATAAAGTAGAAATTCTTCTAGGGCATAAATACCCATGGGATTGTGTGTCACTGTGGGAAGCTGTCTTCACACCTTCAGTGTACTGGGAGATAATTACTCCTTCAGCGTGTTAAATGGTTCTGTAGTGCTCTTCCTGGACTGAAGGGGGGAGAAGAAGCCAAAACCTAACAGCTGCGGACGAGGTGTGCTCAGAGAAGTAACTGTTTCATGGCCAGACTTTATATGGCTGCAAATGCAGACAGAAAAGAAGTAAAGCTGAAGTGAAGACCCGTGGATGCAGCCTTCGTATGCTGCCAGGAAAAGGTGCTAGCAGTCCACAGGTCTTTTGAAGGCCAGGAGTCAGGAGACATGTTTTCACAAAGTAAAGGGATCAAACCCTGAGTTGGCGAGGGCAGCCCTTGCTTGCTGGTTTCACTGTGTTCAGGTGGCTCTCCTATTGTCACTTTAACAATTCAGTGGAATTACTGTAATCTCTTAGGGTTGTTGCTATTACTAAATTGGGGGTGTTACATGATTGTTAAACTTAGAAATGCTAACGATGGGCCTAAATAAATTGATTTTTTTTTCTTTTTTAAGTTAGATTTACTTTTATTTGATATGCCAGTAAATGTTGGCGACGTTGGTGATCATTTTATTATTCATTGCCTTGATAACACAGTTTATTATGATTCACACATAATGATTCATTGCAGATCATAAAATGTCATTAGAGATTGGATTGTAAAACTTTAACACTAGAAAACATTTAAGATGAAATATGGAAGCATCTGAATTTTTAGTCATGTCCTGTGAAGAGCTTTGCATGAGCTGAGTAGCACCTAGTGGTTCGGTGCCATGCCTGATGTCCTGGGCTCCAGTGAAGGTTGCAGAGGGAGGGGCTGTGGGCGCCAGAAGCTGCCTGACAGCCCAGGTGTACTTGATTTCCACAGTTAGTCTCTGTATTAAACAGCAATTTGATGATTGCTAATATCCAAAGTGTTAATCCTGTCCTTGCCTGATCTGGATCCCTCCCCAGCAGCAAAGCCAACGACACATCTGTCTGCTTGGAAAGGAAGAGTATGTGTCTCTTTTCAGGGGCCTACGGCCAGTTACATAAAATGTAAATGCTGTCATCTAGTGTGTCAGGTTGAATTTAAGTGGGGTGGGTCTTGTCATACAGAAGATGTGATGCATGACTGCTAAGGAAGACTTGTAGCTCAAGTGGAGCTTTCAGAGTGCAGTGCAGGTTTTTGGACCCTAGACTAGAATTTGAAATGCAGTTTCTCTTCGGAACCCACAATTAAGTTACAAACAGACTGCTGAAACATGGACCAGAGGCATCTGAAATTTTGATCCATTTTAAGTTTTTTCCTAAATTGCAAGCCTGAGAGAGGTGAAAAGTATCCTAGACCAAAAACTAGATCTACTAAACCTTATTACCTGACAAAAGATAATAGCATTTGAGTGATGGTATTCTTTTTTAAAATGAAAGATTTGGGGGAGATGACTCAGTA